ACGAGCTGACGGTTCACTCGTTAAGCTGAAAGAAAGATGCTTTAATCACAGGAGTCACACATGTGTCCACTGTACCATCTGGGAACTCTTCTTGTTTAGCACTTTGTAATAACACAAACACTAAATCCTCCTGTTTGTAGCAGTGTATACACCTGAGACTGTCACCTGTCTGTCTGTCCTGCACTCTCTCGCTGTTTCTTTCTCTCTGATTGTGGAATAAAAGTATGAACATGTATTTATAAGTTACACTTGTGTTTGAATCCTGCAGCTTATCACACATTTGATTTCCATGTGTGACAACTGCAAGTGTCCAGAGTGAGGACAGAGAATAGACAGACTGTTTCCTTGCAGGTCCTCGCAAGTTTGTTGCTGCTGCTAAAACTAAACAAAGCTCCCTGAAAGGCACAGCCAATCACATTGGCCATATTTGTCACATGAGGTAGGACTCCACACACACACACGTTTAAGTATCAAAACAAACAGATTCAGACTCAGTTGGTGCAGATCAACACTTGTGCAACTTTCCTGCAGACATGTGGTCTAATGCTGTTTTCCTGTCCCTTCCGATCTTTGTAGGTTGTGGATTAGAAGGTGAGTGGTCATCATACGGTAAGATGAAAAAGACGACTGTTTTTTTTTTTTTTTGTAAACGGGAACGTAAACATTGTAATCGTGCATGTTGCAGTGTTTGCAGGATAAAACGGAAGCAGTTGGTGCGTGTTTTAGTATGAGTGGAATAAAATGTCAGCGAGTTTAGGACATGTTTGATGTAGAATGCAAAATAACCTAGACCAGGTGAAGCTCTGTGTGTCTTAAACATACGTGAAACAGTTTGCAGGTTTTGTTATGTAGTTTCAAACAGATGCAGTTTTTACAGTGTCATTTGAGAAGATTGTTAGACAGCTGTTTCTGCAGACTGTCAGAGAAATACATTCATGATCATAGTTTGATCTGAAGGGTTAGCTCGTCAACAACGCACAAGTTTTATTCGTCGAAACTAGTACTTCCCTGTTTTTATCAAGTGTGTGTAAACACTGCTCCTATGGCGCATACACTAGCTCCACCTCTTGTCCTCTGCTCTGTTTTTGTTATGATGTTGTCACGTTGCTCTGGTTGCGCAGACATGTGCAGGCTGCAGAGAGGGAGGGAACTCCATGTGCGGCTATCTTACAGCAGCTAATGAAAAAACAAGTTGCACTGTGGTGGCTGCGTGAACGGAAGTGCCTACTGTGAAAACACCTCTGATTTACACAAACACAAAAACAAGCAACACAAGCAACTAGACATCTGGAGACTGTAATGATTATTGTTATTGATTATCATAGCTGTTACTTTACCTATAAAGTATTTTCAGACATTAAAGTGATATATTTGAAACGTGTTGAATGTATTATTTTTTTGGAACAGAAAAAAAATTCACGAGTATAAACGTAACTTAAAACGTAACAAAGTATAACTGAAGCTGTTTTAACGATCAAGCAGAGGTAGCATGTTTGCTGTCTGCTCCACTCCAGCAATGGCCTCGCAGGACAGTCACTTCAAACATGATTAACTGAATATGATGCTGGACATCCTACAACCGTGTCACCTACTTGTTGTTCCTAGAGTATTTAAAAGTAGAATGGGAGGGAGAGCCTTCAGTTTTCAGGCCCCTCTTCTGTGGAACCAGCTTCCTGTTTGGATTCGGGAGACAGACAGTTTCAAACTTTCCTTTTTGGTAAAGCACATAGTTAGAACTGGACCAGGTGACCCTGAATCCTCCCCTAGTTATGCTGCAATAGGTGTGAGCTGCTGGGGGGTTACCATGATGCATTAAATGTTTCTTGTTTACATACCTTTTTTCACTCACTTTGTGTTTATTCACCTCTCTCCATATAATTGTTCTTATTTTCTGGCTCTCTTCCACAGTATGTATTTTGTCCTGTTGCCCTCCCCCCAACCCCAGCCAGTTGTGGCAGAAGACCGCCCTTTGCTGAGCCTGGTTCTGCTGGAGGTTTCTTCCTGTTAAAAGGGAGTTTTTCCTTCCCACTGTCACTAAAGTGCTTCCTCACAGGGGGTCATCTGATTGTTGGGGTTTTCTCTCTATAAATATAAAGTCCCTTGATCTAATTGTTGTTGTGATTTCACACTATATAATTAAAATTAAAACTCAATAGGCATGAAACAGAATACAAAGTATTCAAAATATTTGAAAATAGCTCAACCTTTAATTTTTGCAGTAATTTTACACTTTCTGCAGAATAATAGTTTTTACTTTTAAAACTTCATGCACAATTTTCCAGCAGTGAAGTGTTTTCATATTGTTTTAGTAGTTTTTTTCTTAAAGAAGAAATAAAGCACTTTTTTTAAAAACTCACTAAAACTCACTACTAGATTTCATTTGCTTCAGTTTTACACATTTATCATGCCAATTCACTGGTCTGGCTCCCCTAAGATCAAAGTGGGGTGTCATGGATTGCAGTGTGGCTAGCAGGAGTAGGACCCAAAATGCAGGACTCAGACTCAGGGGATGAACTCAAAATCGCAGCTTTATTTGCTGGCAGGAAAAACAAACTAAGACTCACGGGGAGACACAGGGAGATCAACACATCAAGAGGGACGACGCGACACTGACTGAGAGAAACACAGGGTTTAAATACACTGGGAAGTAACGAGGGGAATGAGACACAGAAGGAGAGCACAGCTGGGAGAAATCAGAACTGACGAGACAGGGAGCAAAGTAGGATACACTCACATGAGACACAGACCTTCAAAGTAAAACAGGAAGACGCAAACTAGACTAGGGGAGACAGAGCAACTAAGAAACACAGACAATACCAACAACAAAGACAGAGGGGAGCTACTAAATACTCAGAGAACTAAACAGAATACAAGAAAACCAAACAAAGACACTAAAGAATAAGCTGGAGCAACAAAGAGAACTGAGAACATAATACAAAAATCTCAGAGGCACAAGAACTCAAAACACTGGGTCACTGACCCAGGACCGTGACATGGGGTGTATGTAGCTGATGATCTAAAATGAGTGTGACATCGCTGTCCTAAAGGAATGGTTTGAAAAACTCCTCCACCATTAACCGTCACTGACAGTAAATAATATTTGGTAATGAATATTTAACTACAGAAGTAATAATAACTTTTTACAACTCTTCAGCCAGGAGGAAGCAGAAAGATGAAGACGTCCAGGTACAGTGCAGACAGGCAGCACAAAGGGTATGTTTTAATGTCTTCGAGTTTATCTTGTTAAATTCTTATTATATATATGTATATAGATAGATGTTTGGGGGGCAGTTTTGCTTGGATTCGTCTTTTTTTTTCCTGCTGCTATTATTTGTTATGTTTTTTTTTATTGTCAAGGTGCACGTGAATGTGGATTAGCAGCGCGGCTTAGCGCCAGGAACCTGTGGTTCCAGCTGAGGGAGAAACCACGAGTTAAAGGCCAAAAATGTTTCCGAGCTGCGCAGCTCGGTAGGACAGATTTTGCTGAGTTTCTCAAAGCCTGGCGTTGATTAGGCGAACGAGAATTCAAAAGGTACCGAGTATTTCTCTGCCCAAAGACATCCTCCAGTCCTTGCAAACTGTAAGCATGTATATTTTCACCTACTCTTTGTAGATGTTTGTTAGTAGATATTTTTCAAACAGTGGTTGAAATGTGATTTACTTGATCCTGAGTTACTGAAAACGTCCTGCAGACCTGGAGTGTTGGCGCTCTGTATTTAATAACGATTTTTTTAAACTGTTGTTTTTTAGCTTGAAACCTCAGTTTCATCTTGAAATCTGCAAGATACTCAAGTACATTTGTACAGCAAGAGTTACAGTAGTACAGGCTGTCATTAAAGAAAAAGAGGCTAAAAATGCAAGAGTGGGCTTATAATGAAGGTGATTGTTCATAACTAAATGGCATGTCCCTTTTCCTCTATAATGAATTGTAACAGTTACAAGTAATTGCTGAAATAAAGTTAAACAATAAACTGGGCTACGTTTTCTTTTCAGTCTTACTGCATTTATGGCAGCAGTAGATCAAAATGTTTAGCTGGTTTTAGGGATGCAACGATACCAGTTTTTTCAAACCGATACGATACCGATACTTGGATCTGAGTACTTGCCGATACAGAGTACAAAAACTGATACTTCTACCACACATACACACACACACAAATGCAATGAATTGGAAGACAGGTTTTATTTTATTCTCTGCCGATAAAAAATAAAATCTTAATAAAAATGACCACAAAAAAATTTCAAGTGAAAAATAAGCACTTCTGTTAAATTATTGCAGAGTCTCCACATTGTAATTTAACAAAATATCACTGAACTATTGGCACTGTCCCGAGCTTTCAGAATAATAAATAAACACTTCTGTTTATTTATTATATTTCATATCGCAGCTCGAGTATGCTGAGAAGACGGTGCAATCCTGTGTTTTACAGGACCGGCATATGCTGGTCATCCAGAGTGATAAAATGAGTCAGAGCCTCTGTTATTTTAACTGCCCGTGGATTTTCTCTTGACATTTTTCATCGCTTTTCCAAAACCTGAGTTAAAGTTGGCTGTTCCACACTGCTGACATTTTGTTTAGCCTAGCTACAGCAGCCTCCAGTTTCTCTTTTTTATCTGGAGCCGCCAGTCTGACTCATCTAACCCTGTGCCTGTTTAGCGCGAGATGTCCCCCTAGTGGCCAATCTAAAAAACTACAACAGAAATGACCAGCCACCCTCTGATTAATGAAATAAGTTGGTATCGGTTAACTTTTACGAGTATGAGTACACACACATTTTACAGTATCGGCCCGGTATCGGTATCGGTGCATCCCTAGCTGGTTTTTTTTCAGAGAAATACTTTTGGAACAGCACAGGTTATGAATGATGTCATATGATAGATATGATGTAAAAGTGTTCCCTCCTCTTCAGGGGGCTTATTGAGCTTGTGTGTGAATGTTAACAGATTTTTTTTTAGAAGTCAAATAACACATCAGGCATAAAGCATACTAACCTAACAATGATAGCAGCAGGTGAGACTATAAGAACAACAGGAAAAAGAGTTCACCTGGTCCACTCTGCTAAAATCCAAATTATAGACCTTACACTGTAATCTTGCTTACAACCAGCAGGGGAAACTAATCTGGTTCACAAATGCTAGGATCAGAGTACGTGAAGAAATACATTAACTCCATTTTCCACATACCTGTGAGAGATAGGTCACAGGTACTATTTATAATTGAGCCATGATTGGTAGAGATGGGCGGACTGATCCAAATATCCACAGTTCCAATTCCAGTCATGGTATTGCTATCGATATTGGTAATAGGATACTTTGTTTCTCTTCTAAGTTCAGTTGACCACTAAAAGATAGCTCAAACATACAATATGAAAAATGTCTGAACCTATTTGTGTTGGTTGTGACATCTATTTTATCCATAGCCCGTAAAACATTTACATAAGTTTACCCACAGTGCTTTAGAGAAAGGCACATTTAAATTCCAGTTCTCCAAAAAAGCCCAGTTTCACGAAATACATGAAAAGCCGAAATATCTGCTTTCTTGTGTTTAAGTAGGAAGTCAAAATTAGCGATTTAGTGGTCATTAAAATGTGTGCTCATAAGTCATGACACACTGCTCTACCCTACATAAGCCATCTGTGGCGGGGCGTGGTAACAGAGAGACTGGACCTTCATCAGTTCTCACACCTCTCCTTCATAAGACCTGCCCTGAGGTTGTTGTTGTGTGTTTGAGGTTGGCAGCTGAAAAGCTGCGGCCAAGTGTGTTAGGACATCTAGCAACTGAATAAAAAGGGTAAAGTGTAAGCTATGTGGTTGGGTCCATCATTCTGTTACACCCTCTTTATAGGTTACAATTATTGGTATTATAATTAGCAGTACTGGCCCTGTATTTACTTGGTGTAGGATCAGTATAAAAATTTGCAGTATTGCACAGAACTAGTGAGCCAGGGGAAGACTATCATGGATATCACTAAATTTGTTCTTCAGTGCACGTATCACTGTCCATCCTACAGAGAAGGTCTTTTTAAATGAAAGTTAAAGCTTTGGCTAGTATGTAATTTTTATGTCACAAATTAGTAAAATTATAGTTTATGTTGATTTTTCTCTCCTTTTTTATATGTTTGCTTGAAAATGTATGAAAACCATATAAGTGTGAATGCTAATGCCACCACCACTATTTTTATGTAACAAAAATAGTCATAATATAAACCTCTAATTCGTACCCTCACCTCTGAGGAAAAAAATAATTTCCTTAAAAAGTGAAAACTTTCTTAAAACTATAGCTTAGTGTTTAGAGCAACATGCACATTCTTACTGGCTTTCTTCATACATTAATCATTAAAATCTTTGACAGAGTTGCTTGTTTTTACATCCTGTCGCAGGTTTGAGTGGCTTTGGATAGAAAGCTGTTTTGACAGAATAAGTGGAGGAGAGCTGTCATGTTCAAAATGCTAAAGCAGTATAGCAAACAATAGCAGAGGATTTCAAACATCAAAGGTCAGAAATATTCCAGTAAGGAAACAAAGCTTTCACAATTAAGCCAGTACATTAACACTTTGATCCACACAGTACATCTCAAAGATGTGCAGTAACTGTAACATGTTACCGATGTTTGTTTTTTCTGTTCTCTTTGTGTTTATACCCCCCAGAGCTCAAAGTGAGGCCTGGAGAAGATTCCCTTCTTCAGTGTCAGAGTCCCAGAGGTGACGTCATCATCCTGCTGGAGTGGAGAAGATCTGATCTCAAGTCAGACACCTATGTGTTCTTCTTCCGAAACCAGCGTCCATATGAAAACTACCAGCATAAGTTCTTCAAAGGCCGAGTGGAGCTGAGAGATCCAACCATGAAGGACGGAGACGTTTCAGTGATTCTGAAGAACGTCAGCACCAGCGACACGGGAACATACGAGTGTGAGATTACAGTCAGGAACACAGAAGGTGTCGTGACTGAGACTAAGCACTCTGTCAACCTCACAGTCACAACCTCAGGTGAGTTTGTAAATATATATTCGACTCACAGGGTCCGATCTGTGTGTGATTCTGTGTTTGTTTGTTAGGGTGTCAGCAGTGAACTACTCCCTAGCTTAGCCTCTTGATGGTGGGAAACTGCACAGTGAACCACAAGGTCATTTATTGCACCAGCTCTGTCTGATAACTTGTTGCTTATTAGAGTCTGCATGGTGAACGTAGACATGGGGAGGACACAGTCCAGTGTACTTCTAGTGCCAGTGTCAAGCTCAGATACATGGGGAGGGTCAGGACATACAATATTTGACAAATCAAACATGTAAATCATCACAAATGAGCTTACCACACTGGATCAGTCTGGGTTAATAATGACTGCCCTGGTGCTTTTGGCCAAAAGGGTGAAACTGTGCAACTGTTGGCCAAAGACAAAGGAAGAGATGAGGGGATGGTGTGTTAGGAGGCAGTGAGAGAGAAGGAAAGGCAAGAGTGTGGAGACCTTCAAAGTAGGGACTATGATTGGTAACGATAGAGAGTAGGGTGATATGATGGAGGGAAGGACGGTAGATATATTGTGTGAGACCAGGTGAAAGGAAAGCAAGGCCAGGTGCACTGGAGGTGGATTCAAACTTTTCTACTGTGGTGTAGTCAGAAAGAGA